TCAGAATCTTCTATCAGTTCGAGTCTGTAAATCTGCACGCCTACCCAAGGTGACGAATGTTTTCTATGTGACCAGATTTCCAAGATAGTTCTGAAGTACGAAGCAGGTAAACATGGAAAGATAAACACAGCAAGTGTTTCAAATCCAACGAATCTGGAGCCAATCTGACAGCTATGTCGTCAGACAGTTTCTGGAGTCTATAGAAACAACGGTGATGCCCTTTGAAGCCTGACTATGCCTCTGGGAGTTCTGGGAGTTTTATCGATATTGGAAGAATTAATGTAGACGTACACTTCTAGAGGTTGTAAGAAAGATAGGGAAGCTAAGCATTAAGGCTGATAAAAGAGAGAGAAGTAAACCTGTCATTGAAGAGGCTGATCAGAGAATCCACCCAAATGCTTCCACCTCAGATGACAAGGGTCACGTGTGTACGACCTTGACCTCAGCGAAACGTCGACGAACGTTTCCCGCAAAGATTGAAATTCAAAAGGAAAGTGGGTGAATTTGTACAATCACAGGAAGTTTACAATACAGCGAATCCTGTTAGTGAAGACATCATGGTCCAGTTCGAGGCATTTCGTCTCCATAGCGGCAATAGAGTATTGGCCCGAACCCCACTCACAGTTTGTCAGCGGACGGGAAGCCATGATATCTGAAGTATTAGAGAAGTTGGGACTGACAAGAGCAAAGTGACTATCACATTTTTCTCCTTCTTTTCCACGTAAAATTCGAACGCAGAATTACGGGTGAAAAAGTCACATACATTGTAGATCTTTGTTCAAATTAGATGTTGACAGTTTCCCATGTAAATGTAATTGTTTCTAACTAATGATGGGTGTATCAATTAAGGTTTGGTGTAAAACAATTTACATGTTCTGAACGTTCAATGCTTAATATATGCAATGGACATGTTCCATACACACGACCCGTGAAGATGCGGGTTAGAATTGATCTTCAGTAACCGATGCTAATCGTAAGAGGCGACCAATTGGATCGGATGGTCATGCTCGCTGACTTAGTTGACATATGTCATCGTATCTCAATTGCTTAGATCGATGCTCATGCTATTGATCACCGGATTGTCTGTTCCAGACTCGATTATTTACAAACTGCCACCACATAGCTGGAATATTGCTGACTGCGGCGTACAACTAAACTCACTCAACCACTCACTCCATACACACCTTAGGACAGTATGTTGTGAATATGTCCTTTGATTTAGTAAAATATGTTTCTTCTAGCGAGGCAGTGAAAGAGTTTGACTAATCTAAAATATTGCAGTTACATTTTGAGTGTCTGTAAAGTTGATACATAGCATTTAATAAAATAAAAAGACTGATTTTTTAACAGAATACTGTGATTCATAGTTTTCTATTATTGGCAGACCGCCTCCCGTGGTGTAGTGGTTAGAGCGTCCGCCCGGAGAGCGGAAGGTCGCGGGTTCGATCCCCGACCGCGTCATACCAAAAAAAGACGTTAAAATATGGTACTTTGTTGGGTTCCTGTCTGGCGCTCGGCATTAATGGGTACAAACAAGGGACTGGTGGGCTCGGAGTCAGTATAATGTGTCTGGAGTGGGGTATTCATGCTTCACTGCGGTATGGTACATCTCAGTGGGCTAGCACTATAAAACCAGCTTCCAGCCTGGGCTAGTACAAGCAGCCGCACATACACATACACACGCATGCACGTCGTCATATGGGCGAAATATTCTCAAGCACGACGTTAAACCCAATTTCACCTCCACCTCACCTCACCTCACCTATTATTACATTTTAGTTCAGAATGACAAGATCACAGAAATATGTATTTTCAACTACTTTCTTCTTTTTCCAAGACGAACTATAGATGATAATGTATGCCTTAATGTTCGTAACATTCATAACATCCTCCTCGTCTACCATCCACAGCTTCATTTGTCTCTGATTAAGAACGGTTCCATAACTTCGTCATAAATGAAGTTTTTACTCCCAGGATCAACCTGTCAGGAGGAGTAGCCAGGTAGCTCTTCACATGAACGACGAGGCACTAAGTAGCCCATGTGTGGTGTCCCCGTCTTTCCCTATTTGCCGGAATATTGCTGAAGATGGCGAAACACCACACACAAGTTGAATTAGGAGTAGCCTACTGGCCAGGCATATCGAAGAAGTGCTATTGATGAACAGCCCATTTTAAAATGTCCTCTCGTTCTATATATTGCTGGAATATTGCGAAAGATGGAGAAGAAACACCACACAAGTTAAATTGGAGCAGCCTACGGGCCAGGCATATCGAAGAAGTGCTATTGAACCAGCCATTTTTGGTGTCCTCCCTCGTTCTTATATTGCTGGAATATTGCTGAAGATCTGGAGAAGCACCACACACGAGTTGTGAGCAGTAACCTACTGGCCAGGCATATCGAGAAGTTAGCTATTAGAACAGCCCATTTTGGTATCACTTCGTTCTTTTTATTGCTGTAATTTTGCTGAAAATGGACAAACACCACAGACAAGTTGGTGGAGTAACCTACTGGCCAGGCACATTGGAAGAAGTGTGGATTAAGCAGATTGGCTGTGTCCCCATCGCGATACGCACCGTTTAAGCCCTTCAAACAAGGCATTGTATGGTTTGATGTCACGGTTGGAAAGGAGATTTATTCAGTAATTTGCTTTCCGTGTCAGTTTAATTGGGGTAGGTAGCGGCAATGCTACTTTGCTAAGGTTGATGCCGAAGAGGGATGGCGAAACAGAAAGGAAACATAGACCAATGCAATCATGTAGACGAATCTGTGGTTTTGAAACATGTAGATTCTGTGATCAGGATTTAGTTAGGATAAAATAAGGTTACTTATGATTTCTTCACAGTGTATTGGCAATTACAGCTCCTAGATCAAGGGACAGTTTTCAATACAATGAGTAACTTTGACTGACATGGTTTAAACTCCTCTTTGGAATTCCAGCGATGTCATGGAAGTGTTAGCTTGATGAGAGGGTAGGATGAAGGTTTCAGATCTTTACCACCATCATTGTCCGTGGCACCGAAGTATGGTAGAACCTTCTTATTAAAACTATGAGTAAGTGTGTGGTATGTACAGCCACGGTGAGCATATATCCTGGCTAAATCATGCACATAGCAGAGTTTGACCACGACCACATGATGTTCAAAAGATCAATGTATATAACGACATGTCAAATAACGCCAATCTTACACTTACGTTAACGCTGCTAGCACAAACAGATCGAGGGCTGAAATGAGTTTTGTTGCGCATATATCGATTGTTGTTTGTTGTTTGAACTGGCACTCGCTCGATATATTCAACTATATGATGTCTGTAAAATTGTCGATCTGGACCAGAGAATCCAGTGATCATCAGTGATCATCGGTCATCAAAGGTGGGGTACGATGTGATACTTCTGTCGCTAAGTCAGCGAGCTGGGCCACTTGAACTGTTTCGTCGCCTCTCTTATGATTAAGTATGGGTTACCGAAGCCCAATTCTTATCCAAATACCCGTGAAGGTCCGGGTTAGAAAGAGCCTTCAAGTAACCAATGCTTGTCGTAAGAGTTGACTAAAAGGATCGGAGGTCGAACTCGGCTTAATTGACATTATGTCATCAGTTCCCCAAATTGCGCAGATCGATGCTCATGCTGTTGATCACTAGATTATCTGGTCCAGACTCCTGATTTTTTACAGAACCGCCGCCTCGCTGGAATATTGCTGAGGTGTGGCGTAACTTTACTGAACTCACTCACTCACTCTTACCCCAAATCGTCGCTGGAAAAAATCAATTGTATGAGGTTCCTGTCAAGTCAGTCTGTCAAAAGAAACCAAAGCCGAAAATGAAATGAAGCCAAACAAACACCAACCAAGTATATCAAATGCTGGAACTGGGCTTTTCAACATGATGAATAAACAAATTAGCCTTTCGGCTATCAGGCCATGTTTGAAATGTAAATACAGACACAGTCTCTGTGTTGTCTGATTTTATATTGCTGCTTTTCATTGATAAGAATAAGAACAAATTAAGGGCTTTACTCGGTATTTTCTCCCAATAATTGTGCACACAGTCCATTGAAATGAACATTGAGTGAATGTTGTTTTACGCAACAGGCGCGTGTTCAAAAGGCATCATATGCATGATAGGAGACTATAGCCATGCCGTTGTCATAATGCTACACATGCCTCCATTGACCTTTCGGGGCCACAGTTTGCACGGTCTTGATTGTTCTCCTACATTCACGAATTCCTCGACGCACGTCTGTGGTAATGGCGTTCAGATCATATTGTAATGTGAGACTCTGTGGTTGGTTCGAAGGCAAAATGATTCGCTGCTCAGAAGATGACTTTCACATGCAATGATTCACCTTATCGTTGGTTCAAGTTCGATTTGCTCATCAATTTTGTTTGTTCTTCACAAGCACCTTGGGTTTCACCAAAATGGTAAACGTCTAAAAGAGTCCAGTATCCTATTGTATAGATGACTTCTGGGGAAGGTTTAGACAGCGTCTTGTTTCTAGCATGTTTGTCAGGCATCAAATATCCTGCACCTCACAAAATCACGCCTTGTCCACTATTGTCTTTATTCAAATCACTTCTATTTCTAATTTTGAATTTTGAACTCGGTCTTTGTTGGTCAGCGTCATATCCGTGCTAGTTGGTTCACCAAGGGGTAAACGAACGGATATAAACATCACCTCTTCCTAAGTGAAGCTGACACAACGAAACCAACTACAACTAATGTATTTTATGTAAGACACAATTCGCTCAGACATTCTTGCTACACAGTAACACTGGCCCAGTTCAACGCTCAGCACCTGATAGAAGTGGAAACACACATGCAAATCCGCAAATGTCTTCTTTGCAAGGATTTGTGTGTTGTCGTTCATGTTGCATTGTTTTTGAATATATTTCTTTTTGACTTCATTTAATCTAAGATAACTGATTTTATATTTAGAATATAGGTCAGGTAGCACCGGTTAAAAAGATCGCAGATTAATTTTCACCTGCTTTGTTCTCAACAGTGATCGAGGACAAAAGCAGTATGGCATTTTCTATGAACATCCTAAAGTTGGTTTGCATTTTATATTCCTGTAATCAGCTATGCGAAGGTAAGTATGTAATTGGGGTACCATTGTTTTTTAGATATTGGACCAACATAGTGAACAATGTAAATTATACAATCTGTAATTGTACATTTTATCATTGAAACTTATTTGAGTGGCATTTTAGAAGTTGGGACGTACAATATTGAACACACTTTATTGATAACAGCTTCTTTAGTGTGTGAGTGCGATGTTTCCATACAGATTGTTGTACCGTTGTCAAGCGGTGCCAATGACAACGGTACATTCCTGTTTGACAACGGTACAAGGATCTGTATGGAAACGTTGCACTCACGAAATAACAACGTTGTCATCAATAAAGTTTGTTCAATATTATCATTGGAACTACTTGATTATTATTCCCTAAGAGAGTGTTTGAATCTCAGTACGCTTAGTTGTAAATTGTTGATTTAAGGAACGCATTAATCAAGAACACACGATAAAAGTATCAACTCAACTACAAGCGTCGAATTGCTAGCGACAATAAACAGCTTTAAATTTCCATATCCGACTATGACGTCATGTTTGGGGATGTAGCATTATAATAGTGACGAGCTGTCCACGCATGCTTGCTGACGAAGAAGCTACATGTAAGTGTCATTCCTTCAGAGCTTGCCATGTATTCAGATACAAAAATATGACGTGCAGTACAAAGATGTTTTGACATTTAAACAAAATCGACGTCCTAATAAAATATAGAAATGTCTAAGATGTCGACGCTAACAAATGAGGGTTCAGTCTACGAAGAGGTCAGATTATTTGTATTCCATTACAGCTCTCAAAGATACAAAAGGAAGAACATTTTCTTTGGCTTTCTTTCCGGAATCTACATTTACTCCAACAAATGCTCTTCGAAACATTCTGTACTTCTCATCCCCTTTTGGCGGTGTTTGTACTGTGAACTACAACGACGGCACAAGACGTCAGACCACTGTGAATGTTGTCGCCAACGATGTAGTTAAACTGGCATTACCTGACGCAACACAACTACCAGCTGGAACAAGAATAGAACCAAAGGCCATTTATGTGAACTGCACAACGGCAATAGCTCTTTATGGACACAATAAGTACGCGGACTATGTGGAAACATCAGACTCATTCACAGTTCTTACTGATGATATGTTGTCAGCGGAATATATTGTTGCAAGTGTCGAGAAGACTGCAAATCTTGGCGTTGTGGCCACCCAAGATAACACTAAGGTTTCTGTGGTCCTTAATGCAACATGTCAATATGTATTTAACAGCGTCCGATACACAGCTGGAGACACTGTAAATGCCACACTGGGCTATGGTGACGTCTTTCAGATTGGTTTAGCATCAGATGCGAGCTCTGATAAGTGTGACTTAGGGGGAACCCAAATCTTTTCTAATCATCAAGTCTCAGTGTTTTCAGGGGCTGTGTATGTCCGCGGACCTATCTGTGACGCAACCCTTCATGGAAATCATCTGGTTAGTCAAGTTCCCCCAGAGAGCGCATTCTCAAACATCCAAATTATTCCCAAAGTGGAGACGAGTGACCTTGAGGCTATGACGTTTCGTGTATTGGCAAAGTATGACAATACAGTCGTGAATATAACAAAGGAAGAAGTAAGTGGAAATGTAGAGACATGGTCTACATTACTGAATACCGCCGACGTTAAAGAGTACTGTTCTCTATCGCCTGCCACCTTCATCATACAAAGCACTCGGCCAGTAATGTGTACTGAGCTTATTTATTTTAAAGGTCTTGGAGGCACATCGTTGTTTGTGCCAGGAACGGTTCTTTATGACAACAACTACATTGTAAAGAGTTTAGATTTGGATGGGGTGAACAAGGAGAGTCCAATGATGACTATTGTATCTGAGGTGTCATCATTCATGGATGTTCGTGTAAATGGTCAACATCGGGATGACATCCAGTGGACTAACCTCTCAACGGCACCTTACACTGTCGGGGTACTACAGATACACCCTCAAAGACCATATGTTGTCAACAGTTCATCGCCAATTCTAGTCAGACTTCACGAATCATTTGGCATGGAGTCATACAGCTACAATGCAGGATACCGTCTTCCGTCACTTGCAGAAACACGTAAGTCACTATACACGTAGCGGAATTAAGAACGTCTGGGGGATTGTACTGCGCACTAAGGATGTTGAGGAAAACACTGTCGATCATGTTGTTGAAAAAGACCAGATTTTGCAACTAACAGCCGGGTGTTTTGAATTGTTTTCAGCATTGAAATTAAATGTCTTCTCAATGGACTCGAGGTCTTCCAAAAATCACATAAGGGTCTGAAATGGATCAGTGTCATCTAAAGGTCAGGCGCTGGTTACATGTCAAGAAAATAGAAAGTAGATTGCATGAAAGGGCTATTTATCTGATATCAAAGTCCTGTTCAAGAAAGGATTGGTCTCTAGAGTTCTGTGCAATTATTGTAAAAGCATATAATCAATGGGCTCATACTTTTGCTTTATAGTAGTTGATAGCAACGAATGGAACTGTTTCAGTGGATGGTACTATCACCCTCAAATGCCTACCAGGAGGCTGGTTCATTACCATGGACTTCAGCGAATCAAACCTGGACCACATTCCCTTCCCCCAACTCTACATGACAAGGGACACGTGTGTCGGAACGATGCAGGGACAGCAGCTCATATTCAACATGTCCTACAACGACTGCCACACACAAACAAGTGTAGGTTTCAAAATATATATTTGCTACACCTAAGCGCAGGTAACTAAGATGGAATTACTGATATACTGGCGCCTCTGTTTCAAAAAAGGTTAAACCTTCATCAGACATTATAATAAATTACAACATTTAACCCTCGACTGTACTTCTATCCAAATAACCAAGAACTCGCCATTCGAAGTTACTACGTTTTCCTAACATTAATTGCTGATGTGACGTTAAGGTAACGGGGTTCTGGGCATTGTGTGGTATGTCAGCTATATTTCAGCGTGTCAGTTTCATATAGGCCGAAGAGAAACAGGTCTCTGCATTAAACCAGCGAATATGATACTGATAAACAAGTATGGCATACTTGAAACCGACCTCACATTCAAAGATGTCTGGCATGGCCAAGGAGTATTGCTGTACCTTAGACCTGGCCACTCTTGTGCCAGTGTGTGAGAAGGGGTTGCCTGGTGCATTGCAATCTTAGCCACCGTTACCCTGAACTCCTTACAACCATACCCCTGACCCTGTTCTTTTTCTCACCGACTGTCTGATAACGACAAAAGCGTTCAATCCAATGCCAGGCGTGCTGACAAGGAGATGCCAGTTTGAAACGTGTTGCTCACGTAGGGAAGATGAAGTAGAAACGGACTGATTCGAACAGAACATGCATAATTGCTACTGGTAACACACAATTCGACGTATTGTCTTTTATAGTGTCGATCCTTTGAGTTTTCCCGTTGTCGATTCTAATTCCTCTTATATTCCAATATGGCGACACGCCCCCGTCAAACAATTCTGTCATACGTGGGGACAATCGTCCTCAGAATATGACCCAAAGATAACTGATGGTGACACCGAGAAAGAATATTTATTTGCATGAAAACTCAAGACGACCCAACGCATTTGGAGACATGCACATCAACGTTGGACATCAGTCATTTATGTTGGTTCTTCGGTCGCAAAAATTGGAGAGCTTATATGCAACCATGACATTATACATATCTGCATGTAAATTATTAAACCACTATTGCAACTTTTATATCAGACTGTTTGTGACGGAGTAATGTGTTGACACATGCGAGACCACTTTTGTGGTGGACAGTTAAATCCTCTTCTACGAGTGACGTTTCCCTTCTCGCCTATCGTATTGCAAGATACATGTCTGTATGCGTCCAGAGCCCAGTTTCATGAACCGGTCGTATGGCTACAACGTTCGTAAGTGTATGTTATTTTGGCAGTCGTAGTGTTCGTAAAATGAGACCTAAGTATTGTGACATGTCATCATTCTAATGTGTATTGTGACAATTCCTTTTCATTGTTGTGTCATGTTTCCTTCTTCGTCTCTCGTTTGACAAAACACATGTAATAGAGCCCTGTTTCATAGTCATAACTGGCGACAAGTTTCGACTCTCATACCGTTAGCATTGCTCTGTAAAATGAAACCCAAGTCCTCTAGTGGTTCATCATTTAAGCATGCATTCGAAAATGGAACGATGTTCATGTTTCCCTTATTTCTATATTATTCAGGTGTCCAAAGGCATGGTTACCTTTTAGAACACGTTGATGTATGTACAACCAGTAACTGATTATTTGGTTCGAGATGTCATCTGGATTCATGATGTCAGCTGCTCCGAACCAGTGGATGGGACGGATTCCGTTCACATTTACCCAAACTTTAACACAACTGCCCACGGCTCAACAGCTGGACAGGTGCAAGGTTCCAGCGTCCATATATCCCTGTACCAAGACGCATCATTTATGCACCTTTCAAACGGCAATCTGATTCAGGCTGAGCTTGGAGCACCTGTGTATGTTCAAGTTACCTCGCCAGGGACTTCCAATACAATACTGGTGTTACGATCATGTGACGCCCACCTTGACAGTGTTCCTGGGAAACAAGCATCTTATCCTCTCATCGCAGATGGGTGAGTGAGATGACAGAATCTGAAGGAAAGGATTTTGTTATGTGTCCTTCTTTACACGTCTATTACCGCCATCTTCCACTGTCTTTCTACAATTGGAAAATTGATCTCCAACTTCAGACCACATTGTATATACACGAGTTCGTTTCTTATGTACTTCCACCTTCCGTAATATTACTTTTTAAAATGTTGCCTGTAACTAACTCCAACAAGCAGTTTGTACTGTGGTCCAGTTCCATCGGCGCCGATGATAGGTAATCAACTGAATGATTCCGATCCACGTAAATAGTTCGCACCACAAGCAGATTTTACTGGGCGCCAAGTCGTACCAGGAATGTCCAATTTGGCACAGATGGATAGTCATAGTTGATATGGAATAGACTTACATTTAACCACCACTCATCGTTTGTACCAGACACATATAATGGTCCAAATTATACCATGTAAAGCCATATCTGGACATTTACGTACTTTAATGAATTATGAAAACATGAATCCAGTAATCATAAGAAATCTGTAGGTTGTTTTGATTCCCACTGTCAGTTGTTTAAAATGACATTGGGTAAATTCTGAATGTATTTCCAGGTGTGCTGTGGATGCTCGTACTCAGATCCTCGTGACGCGAAACTCCGTGACCAGGTTTAAGTTTGACATGTTTGACCTCCCTAATGAACAGGACGGCATCTATGTCACTTGTCACGTGACATTCTGTGACCAAATGGACTTCTCCAACAAGTGTCAACAGCAGTGTCACAGAAGTCCAAACATAGTTGGTTGATGTATAAAATGCTAACCATAAGCATTTATCGTTCGTGGAACGGATTTGAAATAGTTCTTGTTCTTTAATAAAAGTATCACTCACTAGATGTCTGAGGTTTTACAGAGCACAAGAAGGTGTAAGCTCAACAACTTCATGAACAAATTGCTGATACTATCACGATCTGTGCACGTACGTTCATTTGAACTAATGCTTTACCATTTAATTTTGCATTATATTTTTAACTGTTCACTCTCTTTAGATAGTGAGTGAGTTAAAATTTAACGTCACCCCGGCAATATTTCAGCCATATAGTGACAGGAAATGTTGTGCATACAGAAGAAATACAAGTAATTAAATTACCATTCATCGACGGTCTGTAAAATAACTAGGGTATCACAAAAAAAGAGTTAAAACTAGCTAGTATTAATTCTAAAAATAGAAAACTATTTTAGACAATACAATGGGCTAGTGATCACCAACGAACGAAGGTAGATGTACAGTGCCTTTGCTACCTACATGGACCCTAGCTGGATTTACACTATCCCTTCAGCCGCTGGCGATTGTGGGCAAATTTAGCCACAAATTAAAGTGACAAGAATACTACGAGTAAAAAAGTGGAAGATTAACATTTTACTTTGAATGTTTTGGGACTTACGTATCCTGTCAGGAGGACAATCATTTTACAGTACTTTAACCCCCCTTGAGGATACAGCCACTAACAATCTGAGTTACTAATTCAAACTTCCAATCATAAAATATTTGTCTATTTACAAATCGTTTAACAAATCTAATTCTTTTAAAACTGCAATAATTAAATGAGAACTGATATTATTAAAACGATCCTTCATAGTTCGTGATTTAAAATAGTTATCCCTTGTGATGGATATTCAACACAGTCAAGCAAGACATGCTTGAACGTGATTAACAAGGATACAAAACGGAGGATCCTCACCTTTCAGTAGATATTCATGAGTATATCTAGTGTGGCCAATACGACATCGTCGAATGATAACCTCTTCAAATCTGGACTGACAACCCAAGTAGGTGTAACCAATGTAAGGTTTTATTTCATGTAATTTATTGATGCCTGCCTGGGTGTCCCACTTCTTCTGCATCAGGTCACGGATATAGATTCTAATGCTAGCTTTGTAATCAGAGTATGGGATAAGAAGTGGTGTCACAGATTTATTGAGTGCTCTTTAGATAGAATTGCATGAGTCCATCACTTTACCTGTGATATCTATCTCCCGCCTGCTCTGTAATAGGGAAACGTAAAATATAATTAGAAATATGAAAACACGGATCAGAAAGTCTGATAGTCTTGTATGAGTCTGTCTTTAACTTTACCCGTGATATCTATCTCCCGCCTTCTCTGTAATAAGGAAACATTTAGTATAATTATAAACGTGAAAATACGGATCAGAAAGTCTGATAGACTTGCATGAGTCTGTCTGTAACTTTACCCGTTATATCTATCTTCCGCCTTCTCTGAAATAAGAAAACGTTTTTTACATCAGTAGTCACCGCAGCTGTGGAAGGGAATCCTCGAATCTAATAATACAAATGCTTGTACTGTTGCACTTTCATTTAGACTACAGGTCAATTTGAGATTTCATCATGTACATGCTTCTTACAACAATCAAAGGTTGCTGAAGAACAATGCTAATCGCGTTCTTAGAATGTCAGATTTCTCTCTTACTGTTCAGCTGAAGAATGACAACAGACACATTGTCACATTTTCTTTGCTGAATGGAACAGTAATTATATAGATTTCGTATAACGGAGGATATGGAACAACTCTCTTGCAACGTGTTTGCACACAGTTCATTGTAATATGGAATAAAACACATGAAAAGTTCACAATAACATGATGAAACTGGGTGAATGTCGTTTAAAGTCACATACATTAGTCAAGGTATATCAAGGAAGACTGAAAGTAATAGCTCCTGGATCCATGTGACAGCTGGTTGTAGGTATGAACACCCTTCAAGTTCCAATGGCACATAGTCAACCATGTTCCGCACTCTCACCATTTGACGCTATATTACAAGGTATGGATATTTTCGACCTAAAACCCCGCTCTGGTGACAGGCTTTCCAGTTAAGTGTGTACATTATTTAAAATATGCTTGCTTACTTTTGTAAGAAGGTGTACATAAGTCGCTGTCCAGCATTCACATATCGTGTAAATAAACCTATTTGCTTTATGAGTGAGTGAGTGAATATTTATCGTCACATCGGCAATATTTCAGCCATAGCGTGTTGAGAACAATTTATTATCAGTAAAGATAAAAAAAAAAAATAGAAGCCATAAAATTGTTAACGATGAACAGT